TTGGTGGATCGCTGTGTTTTTTTTTTTGTGGGGGGGGGGGGGGAGGCTGGGCCAGTGTGCTGGTCTTTGCCAGGTACAGTTTCTAAAATATGAAGTATCGCACTGAATTTCATGATAGAACGTTAACACCTATGAAATGCTTTAAAGCAACCTTTTTTTTTTTCTTACCTTCACGTGATGACTATTGCTAAGCCTGAAGGCAGCTTACACATCTGCAAATACAGCATTTACAGTCCGGTTACTTATACACAGTATAACTGTGAGAGGTGGGTTTTGTTGTTGTTGTTTGTGTGTTTGTTTTCCCCTTCTTCAAAATACTTTGCCGACGTTTACCTACGGGCCTGTCTGCCCTGCTGCATTCAGCCACTGAGCTGTACTAGACACTGGTTAGGAAACAGCCGTGCTGTAAATGCACTGCCTCTTGTGCTGGAAGTGTAAGTAAGTAATTTATTAGACACCTCCAAGACAGGAGGCAAATATCATCCTCATTTTACAGGTGGTGGAGTCGAGAGACTGTTACAGTTTCACAATTGAAGCTAAAACTCAGGTGACTGGAAAGCTCAGGTTACACATCGTTTGCATTAAGTTCAGATAAATCACTTGTTTGAATGAGAGATCATCCAGAACAGCATTACACCTAAAAACTTGAAAAAAAAAATCAACTGATTTATTCATTATATTTACACATTTGTTTTTAAGCTAAAATTTGATTTTTTTTTTTTTTGGAATGTTCTTCTATAATCAACTCTAGTTTTAGCCCTTCAAACCTTTTTGTAACTTAACAAGTATTTTACTAAAAGTAATTTTTAACTCTTAGCACAGTAAGTATGTCAGTGTTAATAGTTCAGCTATACAAAGTGCCTAGAAAAGCACTCAGCTCAGTAACTAGTCACTTAATATTTCTTTCAGATCTTTGTAGTCAAATCTTGTAATAAATAAAGACCAATACCAACACGACAACGGTGTTTTTTAAAATTGTTCATTTGCCAGTTTCAGCAAGATAAAAGAAAAGAAACTAATATTTTACGTGAACATTATGTTTTATGCAAAAACAAAAAAACCAAAACAGACAAAAAGGAGGACACAAAAGAACACACATGGAATGATGAAAAGGAACCATGATTTCCCACTGACAAATATTGCACAACTTCAGGTCTGCCTTCTCAGACTTTGCTCAATGTAATGAAGTAGGTATGAATTAAGCAAAAAATTGAGCCCAGCTAAATGCGTAGCAATTTCAATGAATCTAGAACTGCTCTAACTTGCTTCTGAACGCTACCTGGAGCTCTTCTCTAAGAGAGCAGGTTGCTGTCAGCAGCAGGAGTAATAAATAAACCAAAATGTTGATTCTACATTCTGCTGACCAACCCTTCAAAAGTTATCCATGACATGCATAATTCGTCTATAGTGTAAGCACACAGAGTCTTCAAAGTACTTGGTTCTTTAAATGCAACGTCTTAGACCAAGCACTCAAACTATATATATATATATCTATCTCTCTCTCAACCAATCAAGAATGATCCCTGATTTGTTGTGGTTAACTTGAGAGTGCATCTCATTTTGCAAGACCAAGACATCTCAATGTATCAGGGTTGCACTGAACATATAAAAGTCACAGTAAGGAACATTAAGTAAAAAAAAATAAACACGCTAAGTGGATAAGAGGAGTTTACAGCTACAGCCTTTGCTAGACCATCTCTTAACAAGCAAATACTTTTTGCTGCAGAAATTAGATAATTTTGTCATTCTGGCTTTAGCAGTACTAGCTCCCCACTCAATTGCTACTATCAAATTCTGTGTTTATATAAACTTTGCTTTTATGTGCAGAACATAAAATATATTCTTCTCACATCTGATTTCATTTCTGCTTGGTGGACTGATGTGTCAGCCAGCAGGGCTTAACAGATACATTTAATACAGGAGACTGAGATACAGTATGTTTATTCTTAACTTCTGATAACCTAAGAACTACAGGAACAAGAGATGCAGTATCCTTTTGCTATGATCCAAACCAACCCTTTTTAGGGAACAAAAAAGTGGAGTAAGTTATCAACACTAATACTACATTTGTTCCAAATACTTCCCCCCCCCCCCCCACCCCCCCCCCAATCGTGATAGCAGTTGTTGCCCATCTGGCCCACTTTTAACTTGATCAAGTTAAAGGCAATATATTAAAAGTCTAAGGACCACTGTTTCATCAAAACCCAAGCAAGTTTTAAAAACCATGAAACCATAATTTTAGTGTAGGGCTTGTTTCGTATCTTCATATTTAGCATCACCTGTAGAAAAGGGATAATGCATCTCAGTTTGCTTACAAGCTAGGATATCACTTTGAATTCTGCATATTCCTAACTGCAAACAAAATATAGCACTTTTAACAGGTTATAAATAAACTGTTTTTCTAGCACAGAGCCAGCCCAACAATAACAACACACTATTAAAAGACCTAAGGCAATGAATTCCATCTCCAAAGGAGAGAAAAAAAAACTGTGCAAACAAGCTTAAAACTATTTCTTTGTGCCAGTGTTATAAAATGTAGATTTTTGAATAAAGCCTTGACCCAAATGCCAGCACTTGTGAAAAGAATCAGAACAAAACGGGTTACTTTATTTAGGAAAAAATACTCTTATTTTGCTGCTAATAAAATTGGATACACGCAGTTTAAACATTTACAGTTGCTGTAACACTTTACACAATTCCTACATATGAGTGTAAGAACAAACATTAAAGGACAATGGTGGGTCAAGGCTTTACATTAAAAATAACAACCTACTTTTTCTATAGTCTCTAAAATATTATGTTTTTTCCAATATTTGCAGCCATTCGGAAATAATTTTTATTTATTTTATTTAGGAAATGTATATTTTGTGCATGATCTTAATTCCTAATTCCTGGCTCTTTGGGCTGAATGACAAAAGGATCAAACCCAATAAGATGGATGGTCTCCTTGAAGGTTCAGTAGAGAAACCCTGGCTCAGTTAGTCTCATACGATGAGAGCAGTGCTGCATCCACTGGCTCCATGCAGGAAGGACAGGTAAAGGATCTCATCAACCAGTCATCTATACAGTCCAGGTGGTAAATGTGCATGCACGGCAGAAATCGGATGGGGTCCCCATAAACAAAGTCCATCATACAAATGACACATCTAGGGGGGGAAAAAAATTGTAAAACATTTAAAATGCTGTTACCACACTGGAAATGTAAAAGAGGAATAACATCTACCCTGATTATTTCTGTGTCAAACTGATATTGCTTGCAGATGCTGCGAGGCCGCCTTAGCTCCATCAACGCTGCCGCCAGCACTAGCTTTCTTGGTGCTCCCTCTGCGCTATGCCACCCACGTTCCCATGTTAGCAGAGGCCAGGAAGCTGTCAGTGGGCAGGGAGGGGACAGCGCCACGGGACGGGAAAAGGGAGCTGTACAGGTGAGGAAGCAGCTGCAGCTTGAAATTATTTCCCTCGTGAAGAGGCAACAGAGAGGGAAGAATCCTAAAAGGCGAGGCATTACATGGGTGAGGAAAGTAAGTCTAATTTGTAACAGAAAAGCAAAGAAGAATAAAGGAAAGTGACTTGTGCACGACCATTTTATCGGAAAGATGCATCAAATTCTACTCTCTGAAAGTGAGACAAAAAACAGGAGGACAAGGGAAAAGGAACAAGTTATTTCACATGATCAGCTGTCCCATGGCAATGTCACGTCACCCAGATTAGCTCAGTTAAATTTCTGTAACTTACTCTCTGATCTTCTTCTCAGAGCCGTCTCTTCCAGGATCATAGACTCCTTTAGGTAGGTGCTGAATAAGGCCTATCCTCTGCGCTATTCTGATTTGTTCCTCTTCTGTCAGCTGTGTTGCTAGCCGCGTCTGGCTAGGAGTTGGATGATAAACAGGAACAGGGACCTGTTCCTAAAATTGAAATAGTTCAGGTGAAAAAAAAAAAAAACTGCTTTCCTAGTATTTCCTCGCACAATATAGGCAATACATTTAACTGGTTCCTCTCTTAATCCTACAAATGTCTGTAGGATTTCCCAATCCTGCTTTGCAGATTGTGGACTATAAGTATACAGAGAATGGGATAAAAGGGTAAGGCCAACGTCTTAGGAAGCCTGGCAAGGCTCTATTCTTGGCTATTCTCTGCAAAGGCTTTTTGTCCCTAGGAGTCATTCAGAGAGTCAACGCATGCACAACCACCACATGAAAACAGGCAAATAATAAACCTTGCAGGCACTTGGCCAATCCGTAGATAGTGAACAATGTAATGACTAAGGAAGAGGCCCAAGTATTTGTAGCAAAAGACTTGGGTTTTTACACTTAGGAACAATTATTTGCAAAGATAAGGCCAGTGTATAATCTTAGAGCTTTAGAGAAGACTGTTTTGTTGGTTCTGTAATTAAAAAAAGTTATGATGTGAACTATTTTAGGCCACCCAAGCAGCAGTCCAGACCTGTAGATTTAATTCAGTCCGGAACTGTAGATTTAATTCTTGCATGCTTAAAAATGTAACCAGGACAATGCAAAGAAGTGGTTAAATTAGTATTTCAAGTTTTACACTTGTTCTTGTTCATTAATATGCTTTTACAAGTTCTCCCAAGCTGAATCTCAACTGGCATATATTTAGAATACAGATTTCCCAACCAAAAAAATCCCCACAACTTTAGATGTCGTGCACTCTTCTCTGTCACATTCTCGAGACTTCTTTTGAACCTTAATGAACTAATGAACTTGAGATCAGATATTTAGGGTGAAATTTTTATTTCTATGGTCCTTTTTTTTTTTTTTTTTTTTTTTTTTAAAACACATACATTTAAAGCACCTTTTTGGGAAATAAGTACTAATTTGAACAGGAGCTATTAGGACAGTACTGGCTAATAACCATAAATCTGCTGTTAACGGGAAGATGTTAACGGGAAGAAAGTTTCTTGCATAAGCCTATTTTAACAGTGCCTCTTAAACTGAAACATTATACTTACAGGAATGTTTTGAAAGTAAACCTGTTGTTTCAGCAGCACAGCAACACTGATTAATCTGTTTTGGAAAAAGCTAAAGTGCGCGTTTCAGAGGACAGTGTTGCAAATTAAGCAGATGGCAGGAGTGCAGGAGGCTGCACAGCGGGAAGCGCTGGCGTGGCACAGGGCGCGTTCAGCAAAGCTCCCAGCTCCAAACCCCGCTCTGCCGTTACTGATACGGGAGAGCGCCAGGCTTTCCCCGCCTGCCAGAGCCGCCGCCACCACCTTCGGAAACGCGTGTGTCTGCACGGAGTTGCCTGGGCCCGTTAAATTCCTGTGCCGGCCTTGTGCCCTTGCACCCGTGGAGGGGACCCTCGCGCTCGCTGCAGCTGCTGAAGGTGACGTGGGACGTCCTGCTGCGGCAAGTGGCCAGAACCAACCTAAGGTAATGCAAACACACACTTTTTTGGGGAGTTCCTCTCCGTATATTGCAAAGAGCAGGAGCAACACTGCAGTTCCCTCTTCTCTCCCCTGCTTTGCCTCTGAGGCTGCTAAGGCGACGACCCGTTGCGGTACGCGGCTGACAGGAACACCCGGCAAATTCCATAGGCAAGGTTTAACGCACACGTAATACAGAGCTTGTAAAACCTGTTAAAGGCTTTCCTCCTTCGTGCCAGTAGGGACGGCCAGCGGTAAGACCGGAGCTACCTGCAAGATTTACAAGCCCCCCGGAAGGCCAGGAGAGAAGAACCATCCCGAAGGACGCGCAGCGTCTCGCTCGCCGATGCCGGAGGTTCCCAGCAGCAGAATTCCTCGTTCACAGGTAACGTGACTCAAAAGTACAACTTTGTCTGGCACTTCTTCTCTTAATACTACCACTTGCAATTCTGCTGTGGGGTAAAAATCCATGGTCTTCTCCCCTTAATTTAACTACGCTAGGATTTTCCCCTTCTCGTTTCCCAACAGAATTCAGAGGGTTTATGAGAAGGTGGGAAGAGAGCGATGATTCAGCCCGGATTCCAAAAAAAAAAAAAAAAAAAAAACAACACACCACAAACTATCAGTAACTTTTTACTCTAAATGCTTTGCTGTACTTCTGTGGCAGCACGGTTATTCAATTACATGTAGAGGACACCAGCGTGAGCTCCGTCCTCTGGCACGGAGAAAGATGCACATAACACACAGCAGCTGGACACAGATGCACCCTCCTCGCTGCATTACAAAAGGGGCAGCAAGTATAAATACCTACATGCAATGCGCAGATTGGTGCCAGTAAGGTCAGGAGGAGGAACTACACCTGCAAGCGATTGCACAGAAACATAAGGATCACTTAGGAAAGGCAAAGAAAAACAAGAAGAAAAGATGAAGAAACTCTTAAAACATATAAAAGGAGCAATCGTATGAATCGATAGCGAATGGCTAGATCAGAAGTCTAGCAAAGCAGCATAAATTATATAGCAAAAGGAAGCTATGGTTCATTAAGACAGACTGTTGTGAGTTAAAACCATACATTTTGGACAACTCCAAAATGTGAAATTAATCATGCTGTCCAACTGATGACTGCTTGAATTAAGTTTTCGACAGTAAATTAATACAACTTTTAAGCATCTAAAGGACAAATAAGGAGAACTCTCTCCCCCTTGTTTTAGTCTTTTACAGCCACTCGCTGCTCCTCGCTGCTCGTTGCTACGTTACTCCAGGCCCCTGTCCCGTCGCTATCCTCTTCCCCGCAGAGGACGGCCGAACATGGCCTGATGGTGCCCAGGACGCGCCGGCGCCCCTTCGCGTGCCAGGCACTCGGCGGCTTTCCTGAACACCCACATCGTATGGAAACCCTCATCTGTTTTGCTTCCTGTCTCAGGTTGTCTTCAAGCGGAGAGGGGGGAGGCTGCCAAGCTGCTGTGAAAAATGCATACGTTGCTACTGCAAACTGAGGGGCAGCTCAATATCGATGTGCTGGTGCACCTCCTTAACGCCCAGCAGCTGACAGTACTGTTAATCTCTTCTCCAGTTACTAAGAGCCTGCCCAAACTGAGCTAGTTGTCCATTGTATAAAGACGTGCTAGTGAAACAAAAAACACAACCACACGCATTGCAAAGAGTCAAATTATAGGTTACACCAACAATGGCCTTTTCAAATCAGTCTTCCTCCAAGAGATGTTAAGAAAAGGCCTGTCATATCTGTATTATTCTGAAAAAATATTTCAAACTATTTATTCATGAGACTATGAGAACCCAGATTTCTCTGACTCAGTTCTTTCAAAAGGCACGCTGCCATTTACAGAGGGGTCAAAATAAGAGCTGAACTAGCTTGCAGGAAGCACTCTGCCAGCTAGATCGTAAACATAACCCATCAGTCAGCAAGGCTTTGGTAGCTCCCCCATAGTCCCAGTCGCGCACACGCACAGACAGATGGACGGACGGACATCCCCCCCCGTGGCTGCCCCCCTGCTCTCCCCAAACCCAAACCTCCAAAGTGTTTCTGGAAGTTGGGCACCTAAAACGATCATTTCAAGCAACCCGTAAGGACAGGGTGACGCCCTGCACCGGTGTGGGGTTGTCACCCCCTCTGCACCTCTTTCACAGTTGATAAAGGCTAATTTTATCACCCCACATTTTAATGCAGGAGATCCCACTCGCTCCAGCAGGGCTGTTCAAGAGCAAGGAAGGGTTCGAGGCCTCAGCCACGTTACGTTTGCAGCTAGAGGCCCTTGGCTGTCTATGTATGTGCAAAAGATTACATTAACCAACTAATGGTTATTATACTGCAAAGAGGAGCATGAATTTATTGCTCTTTTGTCTCACTTTTCTCTCTTTCTACCATGGAAAAATGTTTTTGCAGACATAATTATGACATACTGACTTTCCAGCCAAAGTCTGTGTTATTTATCATTTGATAAAGATGTCTGACATATCAAGCAAAGACGAAATTTCATGTTAGCTCTGTTCCTCCATGCAGAAAACTAAAAAAAGGCCAAAACAAATAACCAAAACCACATATTAAATGTCAACCAACAAAAAAAAAAAGAAAAATCACTCTCTGGCACTCAATTTGCTTTAATCAATTAATTATTTTTTCCCCCATATGAATTTAATATGGATGAAACATCTCAGTCCTGGAGATACACAACCTTTTACTCACCCTCAGAGGAGGTGGTGTCAGTACAAGCCTCCCTGGCTTTCTCAGCACAGAAATAATTCCTTCCAAATGTTTATCCAGGCCTTAAAGAACAGAGTCGAGGACTACGGCCGGGTTTGTGTCTCTATCTCGAGAGTGGCTGGGGGGGGGCCGGAGAGGGGGGGGGGGGGGAACCATCAAACATGGGATCTGGATGTTTATTCACATGAGAAGTGAAAAAACACAGACATTTTTGCAGACTGCTTAAAAGGCCCAGGCGACGTGGCTGCGTGGGGACTCCCAAGCACGTTTTGGGAGTTCTCTCCTGGAAAAAGGAGGTTTCATTAGGCATCGTTTCTAGTTTGAAGTTTTGTTATCAATGCAACTTATCTTGGTTACTTATGCTGCTGTAAAACTGCTTCTCTTTTGGTTTATAGCATTTTCATCTTGTTCTAGCAAGTGTAATGAATTTCTAATACTCTGAAAGCAGGTCAGTGGTAGATCAGGAACTCCTAATCCTTGGATAAAGCTTATTTTAAGATCCCTCTACTCCACATATCAGCAGCATGTTATGAGGGGGTTGGTTGGTTGGTTGTTGTTTTTAAATACTTGCACCAACATGCACAAATCCTTTCAGAAAGGTTACAGGAAGGTAAAAGGTGAGACAAGTAATTCGTAACATATCCAGAGATCTCTCTGCCCTTCAAAAGAAGGGATTACTCGTGATTGCCCAGAGGGACAAACATATTTTGGGGGATAAACACTATTTGAAATGTAAAGTGAATTTTAATCTTAAATGATACTTAACACCACACATACAAGCGCACACACACAGATATTACTATAGCTTGGATGCATGGTTTGGTTCTGTCTTTTTCCTAAACTAGAAGTAAAAAAAAAAAAAAAGTCAGGCAAGTCTAGTAACATCAGTTTTATTTTCTTACAGTGCTGCAAAAATCGCAGATTTTTTTTTTTGCCTAACTGCATAAAAACAAGCCTTTTCCCCACTAAATTCATAAAAAGCAAAACAAGAATACAAACAAATGAAAATATTTGTTTCTGTAAGCTTAACAAAAATTGGCCAGATAATTTCTATCATGAATTCAGGTATGCACTGACTAAAGACAGAAGAGCAATATGGGAGAATTAAAGGTTCGGAAGGGCAAGCATGTTTTTAATATTTGTACTTATTGCAAAATATTTTGCACGGAGACTTGAGATCTAATCTGATGTTGACATTTCAGACGGAAAGCAAGGCAATACTGCCATCGACATGCCCCTGAATACGGACAGATACAAGCCAAGAGAAAGCAAGTGGCAGGTACTGCACTGGACAGCCCACTTGTTGGGGGCTCAGAACTAAATCACCCAGCAGGCCCAGACTTCACGTTTCTACTTGCACGCTCCATCAGCGAAACGGCACGC